TGTGTGCACCTGCCCTAGGGCCAACTCACCCCTCCTGCGCCGGTGCAGGGAAGTCGCTGTGCTCCTCCTCCAGGGCCAACACCCCACTCCTGCAGTGTGCCTGCGCACTTCCAGAACCCCCGTAAGTGGTGCTAAGTTGCGGGACTTCCGTCCACCCATGGGAAGCTGGCACTATCTCCATTTTTGCTGGAGGTAGGTAGTGTGTGCACCTGCCCTAGGGCCAACTCACCCCTCCTGCGCCGGTGCAGGGAAGTCGCTGTGCTCCTCCTCCAGGGCCAACACCCCACTCCTGCAGTGTGCCTGCGCACTTCCAGAACCCCCGTAAGTGGTGCTAAGTTGCGGGACTTCCGTCCACCCATGGGAAGCTGGCACTATCTCCATTTTTGCTGGAGGTAGGTAGTGGGGCTTCTTGGCAGTGAGGGAAAATTGGGGGCCCAGAATGCCTTGTGATTGACTGGATTAACCCCTTCCGGCCCACACTGTAGCTGGAAGACAGGAGGTGGCTGGGTTATGTCAGGGTATGTCTAAAAAGCAAAATTAATTTGAAATAATGGCTGTAATTCTGAAATAACTATGTGAGCATCTACACAGCCATTCAGTTATTTCAAAATAATTTTGAAATAACAGGCAGCTTATTCCTAAATCTGTAAACCTCATTCTATAAAGAATAACGCCTATTCCAAAATAGTTATTTCGGAATAAGGTATGTATAAACGCTCCACTGCTGCTATTTCAAAATAGCCCCTCACCAGAGCCATTCTAAATTATTCCTTCCCAGTGACTCCTGGGACTCTAAATTGAAATAGCATGTCTACATTAGGGAAGGCTGCCTTGGACTAATTTTGAGGCTTCCCTGTCATGTAGGTGTGCTATTTCAAAATAAGCTATTTTGGAATAACTATTCCAGAATAGATTATTTCGAAATTAATGTGCAGTGTAGACATAGCCTCAGTGGCTAGCAGCGCTTTCGTGTTAGCTGCCTTTTTATGGGCAGGAAGGGACCAGCTGCTTCTAGCCACAGAGGAGTGGGGCCAATGGGAAGAGGGAAGAGATGATCTCTGCAAAAATACAGGCCCAGTCATCCCTTCCCCTTCCCCTCACTAGCATTCCTGTAAGCTGTGCCACCACTCAGGAGAGAGTCAAATGCCACCCAGCTGATTAGAAGAATGCCTGCGGCTAGGTTTTTTGTTTCTACTATTAGTGTACATTTTATGCCTTTGTGCGCATAAATATTTTATTGTGATGGAAAAAAGCTGCATTCAGGTGGAAAAGATTAGAGGAAATATTGACCCTCCACCCCAGCCCTGTGGCTGGAAGCAGCTCCCACAGCTTCTCTCCTGCACAGTGCTGAAAGGCTGCTGCTGGCCTTGTTCTGGTGTGAACCCTTCCAGAAATCTGGAGGGCTCAGTGGCCCCCATATGGCTCCCTCATATTGTCTTGAGAAGATGCAGTGCCACGTACCAGGAGAGGTGAGTCCCTTCCGGGAGTCCAGCCAGGCTTGAGGGGTAGAGAGCACTGGACAGGGAACGTTGGGTCTGGCCAGTCAGTTACCCCATCCTTATGTCAGAGGGGTGTACAGGAATGTGCGTGCGCCACTTCTACCCATGCAAATCTTAAAGATAAGAAGGTAAATAAAAAGACTCCAGCTACTCAGTATTTCTTTCTAACAGGGGCCTGGTCAACTTGATGTTAATTGGAATGTTTGTACTGCATAGTTCTGATTGCTTGCCATTGAACTGGCATGAACACTGGTAATTTTACCAAGTGATGTAGCTTAAAGGGTTTCCTCTTCTTGCATATCAGTGACCTGCCACAAACAATGTTGGCAGGAGAGATTTGCAAAGAGAATGTAGCAAAAATCATAGAATCTTAG